CTTCGCTGCCTTTTATCACTTTCCCCCCTTTATTGATTTGAGAGAGAGAGGAAAGGAGAGAGAGACAGAGAGACACATCGATGAGAGAGAACATCGATTGGCCACCTCCTGCATGCCCCCCACTGGGGATTGGACCCACAACCTGGGCATGTGCCCTGACCAGGAAACGAACCAGTGACCTCAACAACTGAGTGGGTCGATGCTCAGCCACTGAGCCACACCAGCTGGAGCTTTGGTTAAATAACTCTTTACCCTTATTAGACTACTGATGAGGATCTCTGTTTATCTCCAAGTTTCATTGGTGAATTCTGCACGCCAAAGCGCAGAAAGGATTACTGAATGAATAAGAACCTTGCTTCACCCATTTAGAAGACAGGTATCCTATGCTCTGTGTGTGGAGACAACACAGAACCACCACCAGCTCACAGATGACCTCGCACCAGCTCCTGGACCTCACCTTGGGTTCTGCCATCAGGTTAGAGCTTTTCAAAAAAATATTTTTTCCTTTATTGATTTTAGAGAGAAAGGAAAGGAGAGGGAGAGATAGAAACATCGATGAGAGAGAACATCAATTGGCCGCCCCCCACACGTTCCCCACTGGGAATTTGGCCCACAACCTGGGCATGTGCCCTGACCAGGAATCGAACTGGCGACCTCTTGGTACATGGGTAGACGCTCAACCACTGAGCCACACCAGCCGGGCTCAGGTTAGAGCTTTAATGAAGGCAAAACAATACTCTTATGGGAAAAGGCCGAGAGCAGCAGAAGATGGCCAGATCCTCTGAGCCACCTTGGAAGGAGGGGACTCAGAAAGAAGAAAGAAAAGAAGTGACTCCAGGTAGGTGTAAAACAATTATTTACAGGTAAATCCTCAGAAATTTGTCAGGTATGGGGTTTTTCCTCAGACTAATCTTCTGCAAGGCATTGAGTGCCCCCTTGGAAGAGGGAAGAATTATTCCAGAATGGGGTTCATCTTCCTTAATCACAGCTGGCAAAATCAGTGACCCCCTAAGTCCTTCCATTCTCTCAGATGTATCTTTGACTTTTTTTTAAGTTCTTAGTTTATTAACCCTCTCATGAAAGATCTGCACAGTCAGCACAGATCAAGTCCGTGAAGAACCTTTCCTCCTTCTGTCCCACCTCCAGCTCACTGTTTGCAGCACCGACGCTGACCTTTGCAGTCCCCTGACTTCTTCAGTCCGTTCTTGGGTTTCTTTCGCTGCTTTCTTGAGGTCTCTTCTCATATAGGCCACCCCTTGCTAGTCTGTTTGGTTCATTTTTCTTTGCATAATCCCAGGAATCATAAATCACGCCAAAGCCAGTTGTCTTGCCACCACCAACATGGGTGCTGAATCCAAACACAAAGATGACAGATGGTGTGATCGCATTTTGGCTAGTTTCCCTAATTTCTGTCTTAGGTACTGTTGCCTTTCCAGGGTGAGGGATGTCAATGAGCATTTGTTTCCACTGAAATAGTCTGCTGGTCATGAACCTCCCGGTATGGATAGTTACTGTGCTGTTCATGATGGTGGCCAATCTTCAAACTGCCAGAAAGGGAAAAAGTCTTTGACTTTCTTAACCCAGAGTCTCTCAGAATCTTACTCTCTTTTGGGAGGTTCTTGAGTGTTCCTCCCTCCTGTGCTTCTCACCTGAAACTGGGGAAATGTCTTAGGCACAATGTAAGTCATGTCCCAATTGCATCCATCCACGTTGATGCTGCTCAGGTTAGTCCCTGCACCACCAAAGAACAAAAAGGAGCAGAGGAGCCAGCTGCTTTGGCTCAGTGGTGGAGCATCCACCCATGCACCAAGAGGTCGCCAGTTTGATTCCTGGTCAGGGCACATGCCCAGGTTGTGGGCCAAATCCCCAGTGGGGGTACGCAGGAGGCAGCCAATCTATGTTTTCTCTCTCTCCCTTCCTCTCTCTCTAAAAAAATCAATAGAGAAAAAAAAAAATTAAAAAAAAAAAAAGGAGCAGAGGATACTTGTAGTGAGAGGATGGGATTGAATCCAGTCACTTGGGAAAGAAGGTTCCTTTTCACCTCTTCCCCTCAAGTCTGCTCTTCCAACTCATTCTTAAATCTTTAGGGAAAAGAGGAGACACCACTCCTTCCTCACCCCCCAGTCCAAGCCTCTATCCCAGCAGGTAAGCAATTTTTCATTTGTCATCCTCTTTTTGTGTCTTCTTCAGATCCCATGTTCTCTATCCAGGTCTGGGGATATAATCCTCCTGGCTTGTTTCCCTCCTTCTTCCTGATTCCTTGCTGACTGTTCTCAGAGAGCTGAGCTCCAGCATCATGAGACTCGAGCGGCAAGGAGCCGGGAGACAGCAAGCAGTGTGAGTCCGTTAACATTCATGCAGTGACGCTTAGGGAGATTGCCTATGCTCGTTCCCATTTCTGAGTCTTACACCTTGGCTCCTTCCTAGTCCTGTGTTTCTCAAGCTGAGACCTGGGGGTATCTATAGATCCATGAATTTCTCTGTGGGGAACTTCTGCGTCCTCTTATAAAACTTAAATTTTCACCCTGGCTGGTTCTGCTCAGCAGTTAGAGAGTCGGCCCATGGACCAAAGAATCTTGGGTTCAATTCTGGTCAAGGGCACGTACCTCGATTTCAGTTCGATCCCCAGCCTTGGTTGGAGTCATGTGGGAAGCAACCAATTAATGTCTGTCTGTCTCTCTTTCTCTCTCTCTCTCTCTCTCCCCTTCCCTCCCTTCCTCCCTCCCACTCTATCTGAAAATCAGTGGAAAATAATATCCTCGGGTGAGGATTTAAAAAAATAAAATAAAACTTAAATTTTGTATTTTCATTTTGATGGGTCATCTTTTTAAAAATGAAAATAAAATTCATTCCGGATAATTTGGAATTTTTTTTTTTTTTTTTTTTAGGAGTTTCAGCACCTATGTGTGTGTTGGGTTTTACAGTCACAGTGGTGACAAGAAAGCACCTGAAGAGACCAAGTTGACCAGTTAACTCAGTATTTCTCAATATAGGGAGGTCTATAGATGTGTTCATGGAACTTCTCATTCTTTAGAAGCCAGCAAAAATGTCTTATCCTCAAGGAATGCTCCCTCTTCCCTCATTCACTCTCATAGCACTGCCACTGCATCTTGTCCTTTGCCAGACTATAAATTCCATGAGAGCAGGGGCTGTCTGTCTCATTCACCTATGTATCCCCACTTCCTAGCATGCTGCCTGGAACATAGCAGGTGCTTGATAAATATCTGTTTAATTAATGAATAAGGAGATGAAAACCCATAAGAAATAGAGACAAATTCCCTGCCCTGTGGAGTCTGTTGGAAACGAAACACACACACACACACACACACACACACACACACACCAATAAGACAACATTACAAAGCAATACATTTATAGCAGAGTATAGTTTCTTTTTATTTAAAGAAGCTGATCTTTGAAGGATCCTTGGAATGGCTCTCTCAGTTAAAGCACACATAATACAAATTAGCAGTCTTTGTCCAGGAATTAGGTTGTAATCAAACCTTTTGTGACTCATTCTAGACTTCCTGCCTTTCCCAGAAATCCCTGAAATGGAAAAAGGAAGATTCAGGGAGAAAAAGATAGATTAAGTTTCAGCAGGAGCCCAGGGATTCCAAGAATCAGAGTATTTAGCCATAGGGGGAAGGGGGTGGCAGTGTACTAAAGTTACTCTGGCACAGAACCCAGAAATAAAACTTGAAAAAAAAAAGTCTAGGTTAGTGAGTCAACACAAAACAGGGAGTGAACTGCTTTGACACACATCGGTGGATAATGATGGAACTATTTTCCCTCCTGAATGTCCTTGCCTGGTCCTTGTAGTAGACTGGGGCACAATGGTAGGGTGTTAAAGAGCAAAGTAGAGGAGCCGAGGTGAGGTATGAAGAGGGAGAGTCTCTTTTTCTGAAGAGCGCTGGTGGTCCAACCTGTGCAGGCTGCTGTACAAGCAAGGCTGAACCACAAAGCAACCAACATCTATTAGGAGGAAGAGGACCAGTTCTCCACTGATACACCCAATGGAGCAGGTTGTACTAGTTATATGTGCAAAATATAGGACACACTAAAGGGGCACAGAGCAAGGGGTGGAGGGAATGGGGTGAATCATGCTATTCAAAGCGTGCAACATCCAGCAGCAGCAACATCCAAGAGTTTGTTAGAAATGAAGAATCATATCCAGCCATTGTGGCTCAGTGGTTGAGTGTTGATCCATGTACCAAGAGGTCATGGGTTCAATTCCCGGTTCGATGTCCGGTCAGGATACTTGCCCAGTATATGGGCCCAATCCCCAGTGGGGGGCATGCAGGAGGCGGCCGGTCAACGTTCTCTCTCACCGATGTTTCTATCTCTCTCTCCCTCTCCCTTCCTCTCTCTAAAATCAATTAAGGGAAAAAAAGAAATGAAGAATCATAGGCCCATCCCAGACTTTCTAAAGCAGAACCTGCAATTTAAGTTCCCCAGGTGATTTATATGAACATCAAAATTAGAAAAGCACTGATTTCTTGAGAAAGAGTTTGAAGGCCACGATGAATGAGAGGAAAGGTAAGAAGCCTCAAAGGAATAGGGCCGGTGAGGAGAAAGGGGCCTGCGGGTTTATCCTGAAGCACCCTAGACAGAATGGGCCACGGAGCAGACGGTTGGCTCTGCCTGGCAGGCCTGAACAAAGGGATAAAGTCAACAGCACAGGGCCTGAGGTCGCCAGATAAAAGGGCGACTGGCCTCTGCAGCTGTCACCCACCTCCAGCTCCACCATTCCTTCCTCTCCGCATTCACCCCAATACCCCTTTACAGGACTTGTCCAGCCTCTGTAACCTGGCCATCCGCCGTCCACAGTAGGATTCGACTTGGCCAGGTCGAGTTGCTAAGGCCCGGAGCTGCCCGGGTGCAGGGGTGGGGTGACGTAGGGGGTGATGTCATGCCCAAAGGCGGGCTAACCAGACTTCTTCCGCCTCCCGATTGGCTGCCAGGAATCGGACTGGACTCGCCGCGTCGCGGGCTCCAGGTTTAGCTGTCAGTGCCCCTCCCCCGCGGCCCCGGTCCCCGTCTCTCCGCCTGCGGCAAGACTCCGAAGACAGCACTCAGTAAGCACCTAGCTTCGGAAAGACAGGTGACCCGAGTGGTCCGGCCGGCGCCACCGGCTAGGCGCTCCGGCCGCCCAGGGCTTTTGGACTCGATCAGTGTCCGTACTTGGGACGGCTACCGGAACCGCAGGGAATTGTGGATTTTATAGTTCTGGATTAGTTCCGGGTGGAACCCAGATGAAGCGGGACAGGGAATTTTGGAGGAAACAAACAAATAAGAGCTTTGAGGCTCAGGTCCCAGAAAAACAGGAATGGAGTCTGAATAAGAATCCTGCCGTCAGTATTGTTTTGATTTTTTTTTTTTTTTTTTTTTTAGGTGCTGACCTGAACCCAGTCCATCCCTTTTCCACCCAGTTTACCCACAGGGGAAGGGGCCAGGCAGCGAAATGGAGACGCTATCAATCAATCCAGTGGGAGAGAAAAACACCTCTCAACCACAACAACAGTGGGGAAAGAACCCCAAGAAGAACCTTAATTCAACTACGCAGCAGCGCCAAGAGCCTCTTACTGAAGTTCTCGCACTAAGAATGAGCCCAAATCCAGCCAGCCAAATTCCAGAGAATGTTCAAGGGCCTGAAAAACTGACTACTGAACTTGAAGAAGATCCCAATAAGTCTCGTGGATCAGCTAGTGAGATGCTAGAGCCCCTCCAACCTTCTGATCTCTGGAACTGTCCGGATGGGAGCTTTGTCAAGAAGATCATAATCCGTGGCCATGGCTTGGACAAACCCAAGCTGGGCTCCCGCTGCAGGGTACTGGCTTTTGGGTTTCCTTTGGGGTCAGGGCTACCAGAGGGACGGACAGAGCTAACTATGGGGTTAGGTCCATGGAGGGAAGGAACCTGGGGCGAGCTCATAGAGAAATGCTTGGAGTCCATGTGTCAAGGTGAGGAGGCAGAACTTCAGCTCCCTGGGTACTCGGGACCTCCCGTCAGGCTCACACTGGCTTCCTTCACTCAGGGCCAGGACTCCTGGGAGCTGGAGGCCAGCGAGAAGGAGGCCTTGGCCAGGCAAGAACGTGCGAGGGGCACAGAATTATTTCGAGCTGGGAACCCAGAAGGGGCTGCCCGATGCTATGGACGGGCTCTTCGGCTGCTGCTGACTTTACCCCCACCTGGCTCTCCAGAACGAACTGTCCTTCATGCCAACCTGGCTGCCTGTCAGTTGCTGCTAGGGCAGCCCCATTTGGCAGCCCAGAGCTGTGACCGGGTGCTGGAGCGGGAGCCTGGGCACTTAAAGGCCTTGTACCGAAGGGGAGTTGCCCAGGCAGCCCTTGGGAAGCTGGAAGAAGCAACTGCTGACCTCAAGAAGGTGCTGGCGGTAGACCCAAAAAACCGGGCAGCCCAGGAGGAGCTGGGAAAGGTGATCTTTCAGGGGAAGAAACAGGATGCAGGGCTGGCTCTGGGTCTCCGCAAGATGTTTGGCTGATTAAAAGTTAAACCTTAAAAGAGACAGGAACCTGTGAATCGTGGTCTGTGCTCTGAGATTTGGGGGGGGGGGGGGGGCGAGAGGGAGGATTTCAGCCTATATCCCATTCCCACCTTATGCCTTCCTAGGGGAAGTAGCAGTGGTCTCAGTGCACCTCTCTTTTTACCATTAAAAAGTCAGTCACGTGTGCTGTGTTTTAGGGTGCTTACCCATTTCTGAAGATGAATAGAAGCTGTCTAAACTAAGTTCACTACTGGCCGGGGCAGATGGCGGACCTTTAAATCCTGGGAACTACTACTCCCAGGCACTTTCTCGTGGGGTCCTGTTTCGCGCATGCGCAAGTGCTGCGCCCCGCCCCCGGTGCGTGGGCGTGTATCTCCCTCTCTTGCTGCGCTCCCATTGGCCCGGCCGGTAGAACCGCCTCTCCTGTTGAGTCATGTGCTCAGCAGCCAGGTCTCTTAGTGGTCGGAATAGCTTCCGGGACGCCCCCCTTTTTTGAAGCGTCAACTCATTAGTTGCTGATGAGGAGAGGCGGGCCTTGGGAACTGTCTCATGGTTGGGGGGCGGGGGGGAAAGATGGCGGAGCTGATGCTCCTCAGCGAGATCGCGGACCCGACGCGATTCTTCACCGACAACTTGCTGAGCCCGGAGGACTGGGGTGTGTGGGGCGAGGCCTGGGGAGGGGAGAGGACTGCGGCATCCCGTGCCTCTGCGGCGCGCAGCAAGGAAGCGGAGCCCCAAAGGGGAAGGCCGCGCAAATACGGAATCTACCTTCCGTAGGAGGGCGGAGCAGGGGTCCGGTTGTGCTTTCCGGGGTGCGGGAGGTGAGGGAGACCTCCGCTCCCTGCAGAAACGTCGAGTTGCTCCGGGGTCGGAGGAGGGGCTGAAGTTTGGCCGTATCACTTTTCAAGTGGGCGGGCGGTGGGTCTGGCCGCGCCGATCCAATGAGGGATGGAGCGAGGGCGGCGTGTGGCTCCGGAGGCTGGGCCCACGGACAGCCCCCTGACACTCCGCACCGCTTGCAGACTGCACCCTGTACACCAGCCTGGATGAGGTGGCTGAGGAGCAGACGCAGCTCTTCCGTTGCCCAGAGCAGGATGTCCCGGTATTGCTCCCCCAGCAGCCTTATCCCTTCCCGTTGGTGGGTGGGGGTGGTCCCAGATCCCAGACTCATCCCCAGGCCAGAGCTCCTTTGGAGCCACCGCTTTCTTCTCACAGTCCTGCCATGTAATATTGTCCCTTATTCAGTTTGGCAGCAGCGTGCTGGATGTGGGGATGGATGTCAGCCCCCCCGAACCTCCCTGGGACCCCCTGCCTATCTTCCCAGGTAAGATATCATTTGTGATTCCCCTCATCCTTCCAGAAACCCTCATCTTCCCCGTTTCCCAGAAACTGCAGTCCCCCGTGTCCTCACACCTCCTCCACACGAGTGCCCTTGAACACCTTATTTGTGTCCCTCCCGCCTTGCCCCAGTGAGGAGCCCTCACCTGCATGTCCTTGAACACTTTTTGGACTGTCTCAGGCTCTTCTTCCTGGTTATTTTCTGACCTCATTTCCTCCAGATCTTCAGGTGAAGTCTGAGCCGTCTTCTCCCTGCTCTTCTTCCTCCCTCAGCTCCGAATCATCGCGTCTTTCTGCAGAACCCTCCAGCCAGGTGAGAAAGCCATGTCCCTACTTCTGCTGTCTGGCAAGGCCTCTGCTCCACCCCTGCTCCTATAGGTGATGAGGAGTGATTTCTGTGGGGGGTGGGGGAGCTTCTCTCCATTTGTCATTTTTTAAACATTCTCGTTTGCTACATTTCCACTCTTGGTTTCTAGAATTAAAATGAAGTCTTTTTAACATAGATATGTGGCAGCTGTGCTGGGGCTGGGAAGAGGAGAGTTGTTAACTGCTGAGAATTCTAGAACTGTCCCCGCCCAAGTTGTCCACTCTAAGGCAATATTTGAAATCATGAGATGTCATCACCCCTCCCAGGAATAAAGCAGAAGGAGGGAACCAGGAGACAGAGACAGCTTAGGGAGATGCTAAGTAACATTCATACCAGAATGTCAGATAACTGGTGTTTGTAAGCTGTAAGCTTTTGTTCTTGCTCTTACTCTCAATACCTCCCTTGTTTTCTTTTCTTCTCTCTGCCCCTTGCTTCACCTCTACTCTCACCCAGGCCCCTGGTGTAGGGGAGGTGCTGGTTGTGAAGATAGAGTCTTTGGCACCCCCACTCTGCCTCCTGGGAGATGATCCAACGTCCCCGATTGAAACCGTCCAGATCAATGTGGGCCCCACCTCTGATGATCCCTCAGGTAATAACAGTCTGCCCCGACCCCCAGGCTTTACCAGGTAGAATGTATTTGAGTTTTCTGGCGTGTGTGTGTGTGTGTGTGTGTGTGTGGTGGCAGGGTCAGGGACAGGTAGCAGGAAAAGGTGGGGAGGGGAAATAGCAGATAACCAGGAGAGATGCCAGCAGTGGGAGGAAGAATTTTAGGAAACCACAGCAAGGGTAACACTGAAGAGATGGGTATGATTTTTTTTTTTTTTTTTTTTGCTTTTTCTTGTTCCCAGTGTCCTGTTGTGTGATTTAACTTCCTGTTGCATTGCATTTTTTAAGAGTTTGGACAGTTTGGGGCCTATTTATTTATGTTATTTTTTCATTCCAATGTCTTATTATAAAAAATTAGAAACATACAGAAAAGTTGGAATACTGTATACCCAACTCCTAGGCTCTACAATGAACATTTATGCTATTTATTAAGTGTTATAAAGTTTAGATGCCTTTTTGTGTATATTCAGTAAGCATTTATTGAGCACCTACTCCATGCCAGGTACTGGACAGGGTGCTGGGAATGCAAAGATGAAAAAGACATGATCAACACACTGACTTGAGAATCCTGTAGTGTGGTGGGGGAGAAAGACAAGTACCAGTCCACACAGATGTGGTCATTCTAGGATAGAGGTCATCATAGTGTGCTGGGAAAGCTCGTGAGAGAGGGCATCTCACCCTACTGGGGCTGGATCAGGCTAGAGGAAGGGTTTCCTGGGCTGAGTTTTGAAGGACACATGGAAATTAACCAGAAGGAGAATATGGGGATTGGCATGTGTATCTCTTCAGAGTGGATATGAGTAGGGAGTAGGGGATGGCAAGAAGCAGCAGAGGCTTCAGGGCCAGCTGGGAACCCTGCTAAGGCACTCTTAGCTTTTATACGGTGGGCAGTTGGGAGCCTTTGAAGAGTCAAGCAGGAGAGCAGCATGATTAGGAAGATGACTCTGGTGGCAGAAAAGAGAATGGATTGCAGAGAGGCAGGACTGGAGGCAGGAGGCAGAGGACCAAGGAAGAGGCTCGTGCAGTTAATCAAGTAAAATATTTGGATGCCGAGAAGAAGTCAAAAAGAATGAAGTAGAATGGATGAGTTTCAGTGACCTCCCGGGCATTGGGCAGGAGTCAGAGAGGAGGCCTGTGTTTCTGGCTGGGGCAGCCATCCAGTGGGTGACAGTACTGTTCACTGGATAGAGACTGTAAGAGCAGGAGCCCTCTGATCAGGGAGTGCGGTGAATTCAGGGTTGGACAGGCTGATTGTTCAATTCAAAGTGCCTTCAGGGTTTCCTGGCACTGCCTCTCCAACCAGAAGCAAGAGGGCATGGGAGCCTAGTGATGTAATCCATTCATGTTTTCCTCCTGGGTTTCGTAGCAGGGCAGGGAAGGATGGAGAGTGGATTCGGAGGAACAAACAGATCGTATCCAGCACATTATTAAAAGTTCAAAGAGAACAAACAAAGTAAGGATTAAAAAGCCTTTAACAGCAAAGAGAATGTTGATGACTTTGCAAACTGTTGTGTAATTGGAGTTAGATTCTCCCCTATGACTTGTATTTTTTGAGGGCCTGTACTTTACTCGTCCCTTTGACAGACATGAGGCATAAGATGTAGTCCTTTCTTTTAAATGCCAAAATGAGTGGTATGGGCCAGAGGTAGTGGCAGACTGTTGACCTTGGGCCTGAATCTGGCCCTCAGGTGGGTTTTAGTTCACCTACTAGGGGCAATCAACAGGTCTTATAGATAGATTTAACAGAGGCGTGAAGATTCAGAGGTGACAGGATTTCTGATTTGGTGTCTGGGAGGCTGCCAAACGTAGGAAGGGAATTTATGTGAAGGGACAAGCAGTGAGCTCTGTGTAAGTTCGGTTGAATTTGGGTGAATGGTGGGACACGGGAATGGAAGTGACCAGCAAGGAGCTTGGGAGTCAGGGTCAGGGTGCAGGGGCGCCATCACAGGTAGAGATGCAGAAGTGGAGGTGGTCAGCATGTTGTGTGACAGTGTCAGGCCAGGAGGAGATGAAAATCCAGCCAGAAAGGAGTGTGGGTCCATACGAATGCTGCAGACTCTCTGCTGGGGCCGCCTGTACGTGAATGGACCGGGTCTGTGAGGACAGAGGATAGCCTTGAGGGGAACTGAGCAGGGGTGAGAAGAATTAAGGAGTCCCTGAAGAGGGAAGTCCCAACTGGGTAGTGGTGGGAGGAGATCCTACACAGCCCCAGGGCCCAGAATATCTTTATTATAGGTACAAGGGGAAATGACCGTGTCTCCATTTCCCCATCTTAACCTTCTGTTCCTCCGTGTGTAGCAATCTCCAGCTGTTTGTCTCATCCTGCCACCCCACAGGTGTCCAGACCAAGATAGAGCCTGTCTCTCCCTCTTCCCCCATCAACTCTGAGGCTTCATTGCTCTTAGCCGAGTCCCCTAACCAGGTGAGCATTATCATTCCTCCTTCCACGCACTGCAGTGAGTTCCTTCCTTCTCATTGTTCACGGTAGGAGAGCTTTCTCTTCTTCAGCTCCTTCTCCTTCACATTCCAGGCTCTTATAGGAAAGGAGGTGCTGGAAGTGAAGACGGAGTCCCCAGCCTCTCAAGGGTGTCTCCTACGGGATGTCCCAGGCCCCCCACTTGGAGCTGTTCAGATCAGCATGGGTCCATCCCCCGATGGCTCCTCAGGTAATGGGGCCTCCTGACACTGGGGTCCCTGGCAGAAGGCCTCCAGTCCTGACATCCCTCCCTCCCTCCTTCCCTCCCTTCCTTCCTTTCACCTTCTTCAGGCAAAGCCCTGCCTGCCCGGAAGCCACCACTGCAGCCTAAACCTGTGGTGATAACCACTGTCCCAGTGCCACCCAGAGCCGTGCCTCCCAGCACCACCGTTGTTTTGCAGCCCCTTGTCCAGCCACCCCCAGGTAGTGAAGAAGGAAAGAAGGAGGTGGGCTGGATTGACCTTCTAAGGGAGCTTACAGCCACTGAGGCCCTTTGGTGCTTAGGGGTGGACACAGGACCCCACCTGACTTGCAGCTCTCTGACCTCTTTCTCCTGCTCACCTGCCCCAGTGTCCCCAGTTGTCCTTATCCAAGGTGCTATTCGAGTCCAGCCTGAGGGGCCGGCCCCCCCTGCGCCACGGCCTGAGAGGAAGAGCATTGTTCCAGCTCCTATGCCTGGGAACTCCTGCCCACCCGAAGTGGACGTAAGTACTAGGGAGCGGAGGAGCAGGGCTAGTAATGGAGATGCAGGAGGAAAGTCTGTCATGGGAAAGAACTGTGGCATGAGAAGAGAGCAGAAGGTGACGGGGCAGACCTTCAGATGGTCCTGAAGGTCAGAGCGGACCCCTGTCATATATGAGTGTCAATCTTATGTAGTTTTAGGGTGCTTGGGTTTGTTATTCAACTGCATATGGAGAAGTAGGGTGGCCTCAGTTTAGCAGAGGCAAGGGAGTCGTTCTGTTGTGGTTGTGGCCATAGCTGGAGATTGAGGCTGCTTCCTCTAGGGGAAAACCAGTTAGCAAGGTTCAACTTAGGGCCCGAGAAAGGAGAATTGAGAAGAGAAATTAAACACCGAGAAGAGGAACTGAGGTTCCACTGGGAACCGGGATGGAGGAAATTCTTCCTACAGTCTAACTGCTCTCAGCTCTGAGGAACAGGAGCAGGGAGTGGTTAAGAGCGGAGCCCTCTCCCTGAAATGTTTTAGTAGAGAGAACCCCCTCCCCGCTCTGGTGCTGTAAGTAAGGTCAGGAAGGCAGGAGAGTGGCCCGGGAGCTTTGGGTAATCAGCCCTCGGAGTGGGGGGACATGGCTCCTCCCCTGCACATCCTTCATTCTCTGGTGACCCTGTGGGTGCCTAGGCCAAGCTGCTGAAGCGGCAGCAGCGAATGATCAAGAACCGGGAGTCGGCTTGCCAGTCCCGGAGGAAGAAGAAGGAGTACCTGCAGGGGCTGGAGGCCAGGCTGCAGGCCGTGCTGGCCGACAACCAGCAGCTGCGCCGGGAGAATGCTGCCCTCCGGCGGCGGCTGGAGGTCCTCTGGGCTGAGGTGAGACTTCTGTCTTTGGGGGATGAAATATAGGCTCCTTGGGAGGACTCACCCACGCTCTCTTATCTCTTCCTCTGCACCTTAGAACAGCGAGCTCAAGTTAGGGTCTGGAAACAGGAAGGTGGTCTGCATCATGGTCTTCCTTCTTTTCATTGCCTTCAACTTTGGGCCCGTCAGGTGAGACCCTCCTTGCTCCCTAGAGCCTTCGGGTTGGAGCTCACCCTCAGCCACCTGATTGCTGCATCCCGCTCACACAGACGGCTGCGGCGGCCCTGGCATGGGGGTGTATTCCGTGTTCCCTCCTTGTTCCACCATTAATCTCACAAATGGAATGTCCTGGGTTAGGTGGTGCTGGTAACGTTGATTGAAAACAGACTTTGGTGCTTCCTGAGATCTAGGCTTTGGTTAAGCACGCTCCTTTTCTCGTGTTTCCCGGTCCTGTGAGGTAGGGGCCGTTCTCATTCCATCTGCCTGGTGAAGAGCCGGGCTTGGGTAGCAGATGGGCTGTCTGCAGAGCCCTTGCCCTAACCAGCCTCTCAGTAGAGCTGGAGTTTTCCCCTGTGCTCTGCCCTTCCGTCTCCTCAGCATCAGTGAGCCTCCTTCGGCTCCGGTCTCTCCTCGGGTGAGCAGAGAGGAGCCTCGGCCCCGGAGACACTTGCTGGAGTTCTCAGCACAGTTGCCAGTTGACGGAGTCGATCCTCTGCAGGACTCCTCCCAGAACCCCGGGGAGCCCCAGCCCCGCAGCCAGGGCCGGCAGGGTTTCAGGTGAGGAGAGAGCTCGCTCTTCTCTCTCTCTCTCTCTCTCTCTCTCTCTCTCTCTCTCTCTCTCTCTCTCTCTCGCGGCGGTGCTGTGTGCTTCCCCAAGTTTACCCCGTCTTTCTGAGGGAAGCCACAGTGGCTCCTTGCCACCTCGGCCTTCTCTGACGATGGCGTGCCCGGCAGCTGCACTCACCGCCTCCCTTCTGCCTGGTCCAGGAACCTGACAGCTTTCCCCGGGGGCACCAGGGAGCTGCTGCTGAGAGACCTGGACCAGCTCTTCCTCTCCTCGGACTGCCGGCACTTCAACCGAACCGAGTCCCTGAGGTGCGGGGGACTGTGGCTGGGGCACTCCCCTGCCGTTCATTCCGTCCTGGGTTCTGGAGCTCGGCTCCTTCCTGCTCTCTCCCTCCGGTGTGCGGGCAAGGAGAGAGGAGCCTTGGCCTGGCACGGAGGTGCCCCCTCTGCTTCCTCAGGCTTGCTGATGAGCTGAGCGGCTGGGTGCAGCGCCACCAGAGGGGCCGGCGGAAGCTGCCCCGGAGGGCCCAGGAGAGACAGGTAGACTCGGGCTTTGTGTCCTGGGGCTCGGAGGGTCATGTTCTTGTGGGGGTTTGAGAGACAGTTGAGGAAGTGGCAGGGTGGGTGTGAGGTGGTATCAGCTTCCAGGGCCGTCTCTCTTTCCGTTCTCCGTTCACCCTCTTCAAATCCTTAGACACTTCTCCTTCCAGAAGTCTCAGCGACGGAAGAAGTTGCCTCCAGTTAAGGCAGTCCCCACTCAACCCCCCGGGCCCCCAGAGAGGTGAGTCTGGGAGGTGCTTCCTTACTAAGTGGAGTTCCATTCTGAAGAGCTGACCCCCAGGAGCTGGCCTGTGCTTGTCACCATTGCCTCCCTCACCCCCTGGGGTCTTCTGTTTCCTTCTCTCATCTTCTCCCGCTCTCCCCGGAGCGGTGTGCCTAGGGATTCTGCCGGCCAGCTGCAGCTGTACCGCCACCCAGACCGGTCTCAGCCAGAGTTCCTGGATGCAATTGACCGCCGGGAAGATACATTTTATGTTGTCTCATTCCGGAGGGTGAGCTCCTCCTCCTGGCCCATCCCCCATCACCCTAGGTGTCCTTATCACCCTGGGTGTCCCAGCCATGTGTGTTCAGGTGGAGGCTGGGGATTAGCGCTACCAGGCAGCCTGCTGCTGGTGTCTTTTCCTCCATCCTCCCCGCCTGGCCCCTGTGTTTCCCAGGACCACCTGCTGCTCCCAGCCATCAGCCACAACAAGACCTCTCGGCCCAAGATGTCCCTGGTGATGCCCGCCATGGCCCCCAATGGTAACTCCTTCCTACTGGGTATGGGGAGAGGTCCTGAAATGGAAGCAGAAGACATTCCGAGAGGGGTACCCAGCATGAGGCGCCGAGGGGCAAACAGAGGGAGTGGGGCATTCCATAGAGGTGCTAGATTCCTGGGCGAGAAGAAGCAGGGAAGGAAGGGGGGCAGGAAGGAAGGTGGAGGATGGGTTGCCCTTAGTGAAGATGCTTGGGTAGGTGCTGGGCAGAAGGGGTGGGCTGGGGACCTGCCAGACCCTCACCTCCTTTTGTCTCTTGATGTCCTCTCCTCTGACCTCACTCTCGTCAATGTCGTTTCTCTGCTTTCCTTTCCCTCTCCCTGCACAACTCCGACCCTGCTCACTAACTCCCGCTATGGCCCACTGGTCACCACCGCCCTTTCTTCCCTGTCCACCCCTGCTTTTCTGATCCCTCCTCTCCGTTTGCCTCCCCTTCTCCTCTTCCTTAATTCCCCCTTCTCACAGAGACCCTGTCAGGCCGGGGTGCCCCTGGGGACTATGAGGAGATGATGCAGATCGAGTGTGAGGTCATGGACACCAGGGTGATTCACATCAAGACCTCCACGGTGCCCCCCTCGCTCCGAAAACAGCCATCCTCCACCCCGGGCAATGCCACAGGCGGCCCCTTGCCAGCTTCTGCAGCTGGCCAGGCCCACCAGGCCACCCATCAGCCCCTCTACCTCAATCACCCCTGACCTCTGCCTCTCACACTGACTTAGGACCGGGAGGCAGGGGAGGGGTCACCAAGTGGGACTGTTTCTTATTCCCCTGAGTCCTGGGCTTGGGAAATTGGTAAAGGAAGGACAGGGTGTGGGGGTTAAGCACTTATTTGGAGGGGAGGGGGTTCACCTCTCTTCTCACTCCTTTGTGGAACATAGGGCTCCTCTGAACCCCCAGCCCCTGCCTCTTTTCTTTGAGGGTATTGAGTGAGGTAAAGTTTGGGGTGGGTGGGCTCTTGACTCTTTCATTTCTCTGGGGGGTGGAGGTGGGAATGTAGGGTCCCCAGGCAGGACACGGGCCATTTTTATGTGAAGGCAGGGTGGTGAAGAAGATCAGATTTATGTATGTGCGTATTTTTTTTAATTATTATTATTAAATAAACAACTTGGAGGGAGTTAAGGAACAGTGGCTACCTTCCTGGCTCTGATGAGGTGCGTGGGGGAAGCTGCTTTCTCTAGGCCGGGGTCTCAGAGACCTAAGCAGGACGCCGGGTGGCTCTGGGTGGGCTGGGGTGGGGTCACTGACCTCATGTCATCCCCTTTCCCTGAAACACATGGTGTCTGTGGGTGGGTGGGGTGGGGGAGGGATTCCCATGGTGTGACAGCCCAGAGGATACAGATCCTGGAATGTGTCTGAGTAAACAGGAAGGACAGGGGGCCCCACGTCCTCCGCCCTTCGCCCTTCGGGGTGAGCAGCCTCCCTGGGTCCCCTGCATTCTAGCAGGTTCCTTCCCCTCCCCTCACCCAGGACAAACGGCGGAGCTGGCCCTGGGGCTGTGAGCCGGAGAGGAGAGGAGGGCACCGAGGAGAAGGCTGTGCTCTGAGGGGAGGGTATTGAGCAGCATCGACTTAGCCCTGAGCTGAAGGATACAGATTTGAGGGTCCACTGGAAAGAAAAGGACGAGCGGGGTCGACAGAGAAGGCTGTGCTTTCTAATTAGGAGGAAGGGGAGCAGGACAGAGGGTGAGGGGGGTCTCGGCCTGTGGGGAAACGTTAGAGGCCCTGTCCAGCAGTGACTCTGACTTCTGCAGGAGGGCCCCGGGTCAGCGGGAGGGTGTGGGCCGGGCCTGGGCTCCACGCCCAGATGACTGGACAGGGGCCACCCGGGCCACGAGCCCAGGCCTGAGGGGGAGGAAGAACCTCACGTGTCCAGCCAGGCCTCCCCTCCCCATTACTGTTTGAGGGGAAAACAGAGTAACTATGGCAACTTGGAGCTAGGGCTCTGCCCCTCGAGAGCAGCCCTGGCCCCTCAGCCACCACTTCCTGTCCCAGGGCCCCTCGAGCCTAACCTCTAGGCAGTGAGGTGATATAGGGTCCCCAGGCAGGAGCCCTACTTCGCCCGAGTGGGCTGCTCAGCAATGTGCTAGCTGTGTAACACCTCGGTCTCCGTCTCTGTTAGATGGGGCACCGTACTTGGGTCGAGGCGAGGGAGAAAGATGCTGTTCGCAGTGTCTGGTCCACAGTGGACTCTTCCCTGCCCCCTGCTCCGCTCACAGGCCTCTTCCCCTCTGGTGCCCTGCGCCCACTGGGCCGGCACTGCCCCACTGTCCCAGCACTCCTCCTCTTCCTGGCCTGGCTCAGGAAGGCGCTGGGAGCGCCGCCGTCCCACCGGAGGCTCGGTGCGCATGCGGGGTGGGCGCGGTGCCTCTGGCCGCACTTGGATGTGAACTGGGAGTCAGACCCTCTCGGCTGGGGGTGGGTGGTAGGAGGGTGAGGTGTGGAGGGCGGGTATGCCATGGGGGTGGAGGCAGGGCCGTCTCTGGGCTGCTGCCATCCGGGCCCTGGAGGGTCTCCAGCCACAGCCCCCCACCAAGGCCACCTCTGCCTGCCGGCCACTGTCACTGCCGTGCCTCCTGTCACCCTTCCTGTCCCAGGCCCTCTGTCTCTGACCCGCTTTCCTTCCTCAGGGTCCTGCCTTTTCTTACCACCTTGGACCCATTGTCTCCTCTTTTCTCTAGATTTCTTTCCTGCGTTTCTTTGTCCTCTACCCAGCCAGGAGTCATCTCCTTCTCCCTTGGACCCACTGTTCATCATCTTGCTTCTTTGGGCCCCCCCCTCCCCTTGCTCTTCTCTTGCTCTTCTTGTCTCCTCCTGCTGCTGATTTGTGCTGTGTCCTCCCTGCCGTTCCCTTCCCACTGCTTGTCCACATTCCTGGTCCCTCTCCATGACTTCCTCTCCTCTCCCCGTCCACCCCTCCCCTTCCCTCCCTGCCCACCCCTCTGCGCTCCCCCAGCTGTGAGGCAGGGCTGGAGGGCCTGGTGTTTGCCTCATCGCTCTGCTATGGCTCTGGACACAGCACATCTGGAATCCGGGGCCCAGATGTGTGGTTGCCACAGCGACCTCAGTCCCTCTGGTAAATATGGGCGCCCACCCGCCCAGAGCAGAGAACAAAACAATTGTGTGACTTTCTTTTGTCACGAGATAGCAATGTCCTCCCTCCTCCCTCTCCCCACACCATGTCTCCAGGCAAAGGAAGCTCTGAGGGTCCACTCATTCTTCCTGCCGCTCTCTCTTCGTCCAGCCGAGCCACTCGGTTCTCTCCCATCTTCATCCCACACCCGGCCTCCTCTCCATGTCCCCCTCCTCCTGTCTCAGCCCCACACACAGTGATGAAGTGTTGTCCCCCTGTCTTACACTTGGCAAGTTCTGACTGACTACACAATAACAGCACAGAAAGAAGGTTCGGAGACCCAGACCATCCACCCTTCTCAAGCACGCCCAGGGCTCCTCTTCGGGGAGTGGAGAAGACAGGCTTCGGAACCAGCTGAGGCCCACCTGCACCACTGGAAGTCCCTGGGACAAGTCGCTTGCCATCCCTGAACCTCGTTTACTGAGACGCTGCACGGTGTGGGAAAGTGCTCGGGGCCGGGAGCTCACGTCCAGATGTTCTGTCTTCCCCTCTCTGGGACTGCTTCCTTGGATCACAGCCCCTGGCCTGGCCGCCTTCCCCTCTCCTTCCCCTTCAGGTCCTTGCCCTTAATTGCCCTTACTCTTTGCCTCCCTTCCCTTCTCCTGTGTTTTCCTCTCTGTATCTCGTACCCCTTATCCTCTCGAGGTCAGGACGGGAACTTGGCACGTGCTCCATGCAAGGCCTGCTGCCTCTCTGATGAGGTGTCCTGCAGGGACACGGGCCCGGAGGCGGGGGCTTCAAGTCCAGGGCAGCACATCTTAGCGACTGTCAGAACCCGGAGTATGTGTCAGGCTTCCTCAAATGCCTTGTAAGCTTGGAATCCCATCTGCTCCCAGCTTGGGCTCCCAGGACACCCATGGCCATCCTTCTAGCTCCTGCTCCTCTCCAGGTCTCCTGGTCACACTTCCTAAATAATGACACCAAGATAGAAGGCACAAAATAAAAAATGGATATGACCATGGGACACAGCTGCAGAAATGTGGGGCATCAGAAAAACCGTCCTCTGCAGTCTGCCCCATGTGCTGTCGCAGACCCTCACCCAGCCCAGCCCAGAGATCTCGGAGCTGTGGGGGCTCCCAGCCAAGGCAGCGGAAGGAAGCAGCGCCCAGCTCCATCCAAGATTCTGACTTCATCTTCCCCATTGAAGCAGGGAAAACACACACACCCAGACACGGGGACACCCACACGAGAGCCCATGGGAGCCTGTCCCAGCTACAGGAGCTTGCTGGGGTCTGGCATGGCCACATGCTGACCCAGGAACACTGCACATGTGGCAGGCTGTGGACGCCTCTGCCCTAACCCAGGTGGCAGGCAGGCACACACAGACTCCGGTCACCCCTGTCACTGGGGACTTGAGGTCTGCTCAGTGGTGAGGTGTGTAGCGGAGTAGCGAGAATTCTACCCTCAGCGTGAACCTGGGGTGGACTCTCCCTCAGCCTGGCCACTTCTCCTGTGTCAAGTGTCCTCCAGCCCCTCTTGTGGGCAGTGGAGGCCAGAGCAACAGCCCAAAGCTTGATGTGGGTGTGGGGTGCCTGCCCTCTGGTGTTGGTCTTCCCATCTCTGCCTCCAGCCCCCAACTCTCCCTGCTCCTGCTTCCCGTAGCCTCCAGACACTAGCCCCTTTCGCTTTCCACAGCTTCACCCCACACCTGCCCCTGGCTCTCCTAACTCAGGCTCCCCCTCTCTGAACCCCAACTGCCTTCCCAAGCCTTTTATATCCTGGTGTTCAACCAGCCTGAGCCTCGCCTGCGTCTCTGTGGGGATTTGCTGAGGTGGGAGCGTGGACCGGGCAGTGGCGAGCTGGGAAGAGGTGGACAGCGCAGTGGGCAGGAGAGGCAGCAGCGGGCAGGGTGCAGGTGGGAGCAGGGGCGGGGCCGGGGCAAGGAGTCCCTGAGATGGCCCTGCGAGGGAGAGGGATCTGGGCTTGGGAGGGAGGTTTCCTCTGGCCCTACAGCCCCGGGAGGGAATTGGTGCAGGACAGGGGCCGGCACCACAGAGAGCAGTGTGGCAGCTGGGAGGGTGGGAGGAGAGGGCTGGGGAGGAGGAGCTGGTCTGGCTGTGGGGAAGGGTGTTGATAGAGAGGAGAAAGCAGATCTGAGAACCGGAGCAACAGGTGGAGAAATGGGGGGGGGGGGTCAAGTTGGGCAAAATTAGTCCGAAGAAGAGTAAGAATGGGATGGGGAAGGACGCAAGAGGTAGGACCAGGGATGGAGGGGAGAGATGAGGTTACAGTAGGACTCCGATCCCAGACATGGGGGCTCGGGGGTGAGTCTGGAGGAGAGGAGGGGCAGGTGATGATTTGGGAGGGCCTGACAGGGCTGGGAGGGGCGGGTGGACCTGCCCTAGCTCCGCTCCCCTCCCTGACCTCATGCTGGTCCTCCCCTTCTCCTCCCCCTGCTCGCTGCAGCCTCCCTCCTCACTGTCGTTGGCTGCTGAGATAGACAGGCTGCAGCTCGGAGAGCCCCTGCTGCAGGGAACAAGTGAGGGACACCCAGGGAGCTCCGGGTGGCCACGGGGAGCCCACCCTGCCAGCCCCAAGGGCCCACCTCCCGAGGTTGGGGCAGAACAGGTGCAGAGACATCGCTGCACATTGCCCAGGTAAGGAACAGGCTCTGGGAGACTGAGGGAAGAGTTGGGAGCGGTGGGGGCTCAATCCTGTCCCTACCCCCCAGCACAGATTGGCAGGATTGCTCTTAGGAGACACCCCCGCCGAGCAGGGGCTTTCTGTTGGTGCAGAGGAAATAGGACCCTGCACTGGGGACTGGACTCCCTTGGGAGGGCACACTGGGAGGATGGTCAGTGCTTGGGTGGAGGGGTGAACCAGGTCAGAGGATGGCACCAGGGTGGAGGTGGTCATGGGGGAGGTGCTGGGAAAGCAAGGGCTGGCGACGCTGGTGGGACCCCAAGTGCTCTGGCTGGAGCAGCTGAGTCCAAGCTCAGGAAGTTGCCAGGAGAAGCTGCTTTGAGCATCCAGATGGGGACTGCCAGGTGACAGCATGTGGGTGCAGGGCCTGGAGGGTGGGGGGTCTTAGCTGTTAGGAAATGCTGGAATAGAGCGGCAGGGCTCCTCGGTGTGGGGCGGGCACCGAGCCTGCTGAGAGGATCCTCAAACTTGTTCTTGGCAAGTGCTCTGCACCCATGACTCACGGCTCAGGGGGGCTGGGATGACAGAGGCCTCCAGGGCACGGGCTCCTCTTCCATCCACCCCTTCCAGGCTCTCCCTGCTTCTGTCCATCCCAGCCTCCCCCACACGTGACACACCCCGGGTGGGGCGGGCAGGCCCCTTATCTTGCCTGGAAAGAATTTCGTGGCTTGGGACCAACTGGAAATGAACTGAAGGGAACTACTGGGAAGCAACTCGGAAACACCACAGCGGCCGCCTCTGTTCGCTTCCGTTCCACCCTCTTCCCGGACCAGCCTCCTCCCCTCTTTCCCACTTCAGCCTCCAAATTCCTGGGGCTCCAGCACCTCAGTTCCTACAACTTTCCTGCCCTTGAGTCCCAGTTACTCTGTACAGGACCAAAACCTGCCTTCCTGTCTCTACCCCTCCCGGGGTTGGAAATCCTGTCCCCTCGTGTTTCCATTCCCCTGGCTCAGTAGTGCCCCAGAGTGTGCCCCTGCCTGGCACCTCTTTGCCACCGAGTTCCAACCCAGTACCTGCACCCCCTCATCTCCCTCCCCCCTCCCTCCTGGAAGCCTCTGCCTTCACCCTCATGTGCAGGAGAGGCGGGCGAGAGGCATGGGACATCGCTCATGGGACATCGCTCATGGGACATCGCTCACGGAAGCCAGCCCCTCCCCACGCTTGGGGTTTACAGCCCCTGATGAGCGAAGTGTCAAAGTTGGCCCCAGCCTGAATACCGCAGGCTGAGTCACAGCTTGGGAAGATGCCCCCACCCCTGCCCTCCAGCCCAGGGGAGGGTGCCAAGAGGGTGAAGCCACGTCCCCTCCCCCCTGCAGAAAGGCGTCCCAGACACTGCAGTAGGGGCACAGAGAGGGGAAACAGGAGACACCCACGTTTCTTGTTTCCTCGTGCTGAGAAAGGGGGAGATTCTTCCAGGAGCTGGAAGCGGGGACTGGAGAGCAGTGTGCCTGGGCAGGAGGGGATTGGGAGGAGGCTCGGGGGTGTGGCCTGTGGGGGCCACTCTGCTCAGCCAGCCTCACTGCCGTGTCTTCTTGCTGCAGAGACTCCCCCTCCCCACTGCTCGGGGACTGGACAACTCCCCAGGCCTCAGCTAAGTTCTTTGACTCAGAGCTGCCCCTGAGCCCAGGGGAAATCAGCATTCTTAGGCATCACCCGTGACTGGGTGCAGGGGAACATGGAGGGCAGGTAGTGTGTGTGTACATGCACATCTGCAAAGATGCAGGCTTATTTGGGTGGATGTGTGCAAGCATATTATGCTTGTATTGGTGGATGAGTTCACACAAGTGTTTGTGTACCTGTATTTGTGTGTGCATGCACCCTGTGATTTACATGGCCTTAGACACAGGGTGACAGTACCCCAGCCTCATACCCAAGGCTACACTGTAAGCTGAGAGAACGGCTGTGAATCCCAAGGGAGGGCAGCTGTCCATATGCCAGGCCTCCCTGTCTGGGCTCTCTTGGGCAGGATGCCTGTCAGTGGGCAAACGCCTCGTCCCTGGTGTCCAGCTTCCTTTTCTCTTTTGTGGATTGGCAGCCGTGTGTGATGACCAGTAGCCTGAAAACCCCTTTTGTCAGACCCAGAGGAGAAGTGTAAGAGTAGGAAGCCAGGAAATGTGTGTGCGTGGGGTGGGGGCAGTCACTGCCCTTCTCCCTCAGTCAGCATTCCCCCGCGGCCCTCGCTGGCCTTTCTGGTCTAGAAGGGGCGCAGCCCACCCCTGTCCTAACCCTCATGCTGAGTGGAACTCGCGTGTTCACCACGGCCCCTCCAGGCTCACCCTGGGTGCCCCACCGTCTCCCCAGCCCTCTCCCTGCCCTTAGTACTTGCCTCAGCGAATTCCACAGATAAACACATCTAGGTAACCAGCACCTACATAAAGAAACAGGAGGGTCTCAGCACCCTGGAACCTCCCCACTGTGCCCCAAAGAGCAGCACACTTCTGACTTGGAACACTACAGTTTAGCATCGTCGCTCCTCAAACTTCACACTAATAGGATTTTCAGCTTATTCTCTTTCGTGTCCGGCTGCATTTGCCCAGCCCCACACTAGGGAGACTACCCATGTATCGCATTCAGCTTCAGGAGTCTCATCGTTTGTTCATCCACTGTGTGAATCAGCACTTCATTTAACCCAGTCTACTGATGTGAGCCGTTGGCTGCTCCCAGCGCACGGCCATCAGCGGCACACCTGCCGTGGCGGGCACGCTCCCAGGAGTGGGGCTGCCGGCTCAGGGCATTTGCATACAGCTGTGGTAGAGTCCCCGCTGTCTGTACCATCTGGCCCTCCCAGAGTCACACCTGGCCCCCTCTCTGCCCCAGGGGCTGTTTCTAACCAACCTCCAGTTCCAGACACTGTCCGTGGTCCTAGCCCTGACCTTGGTCCTGTCCTTGGTGTCAGCCCTGAAGCTAGTCCTGGATTTAAACTGAACTTTTCATTCAATCATATAGTCAAATATTTATTGAGCACAGATGCAAGAATATGGTAGCCAAGAAATAAACACCGGTGCCGTGTTGCCACCACAGACTTTTACAGGCTCGTGAGCAAGACTGAGAGTGGACAAGACAGTAGTAAAATAATCTCACAAATAAATATGTGATTACAAAATGTTATAAGTGCTACAAGTGAGAGTTGCATGGTGCTGTGATATCACAGGAGGGCATCTGACCTGGGCAGGAGAGCTTCCACGGGGAGCTGACGGGCTCAGCCCTGAAGGATGACGAGGTCAAGAGGAAAGGGCAGAGTAGGCCACGTAGAGGGAACCACATATACAAAAGCCTGGTGTCAGGAAGAATATGAGGGGCTTCCCGTGGGCCAGTGGGACTGGAACGGAGAGAGGGCGGCGAGTGATGTGGGAGGCGGCTGGAGAGGTCAGGAGGGGCCAGGTGGCGCAAGGTTGTCAGTGTTCAAAGAATTCGGAAAGGAGACACTGAAGAGTCTCTAGGGGAAGAGGGACTGTAGGGGGCAGAGTGGGAACAGCGGGGCCAGCTAGGAGGCCACTGCAGTTGTCAACCAGAGGTAGATGGGAGGTAGGACATCATGTTGGGAAGATGAAGGGAAATAAGCAAACTAGCCCTGGCCGGTTTGACTCAGAGGTTAGAGCATCGGCCCGTGGACTGGAGAGTCCCGGGTTCGTTTCCTGATAAGGGCATGTACCTCGGTTGCAGTTTGTCCCTGGCCCCGGTTGGGGTCATGTGGGTGGCAGCCACTCGATGTGTCTCTCTCATATCGATGTTTCTCTCTCTCTTCCTCCTTCTCTCCCTCCCACTCTATCTGAAGATAAATGAGGAGAGACAGAGAGAGAGAGAGAGAGAGAGAGAGAGAGAGAGAGAGAGAGAGAGGAGCAAACTAAAGAGATGTAGAAAATGTGGGCAGACGTGACGAGCATGATGGTGTTGACTGGGCTGCTAGGTTCTGGCTTGTAAAGCTGGGTGAATGGTGGGGCCACCAGCTGCAGTGGAGAACACTGAGGGGTTGGGGTGCAGGAGGGACGGCATGAGCTTCATTCCATACATTCTGAATTTGGGATACCCCCAGACGAGATGCCAAGTAAGTCATTGCATACATTGCTCAGAGTTAGGGGGAGATGACTAGGCTAGTTTCAAAAATTAGAGTATATGTTGGAAGTCAGAGCCATGGGTCTGGATGAAGGCACCTTGGTGGGTGACAAGCAGTAGGTCTCAACTCGGGCTGCACATGGCACTCACCTGGGTCACGTTTAAAGACTGCTGAGGCCCTGGCCGGTTTGGCTCAGCGGTTGGAGTGTCAGCCTGCAGACCAGAGAGTCCCGGGTTCAGTTCCCACTAGGGGCACGTACCAAAATAAAAAAACAGACCGCTGAGTAAAAGTCAGTGCCTCCATCATTCTTGCCACATCTCAAGTGTTCAAGCCACAGATTTCTCCTGGCTACCATATCAACAGCACAGATAGAGAATGTTTTAAAATGGAAGATGTGGTCAACACTGTTTAGTGATTTTGAGAGAGATCCACTAACATGAGAACAAATGCCTCCTAGATTTTGTGACACCGAGATCATGGGGAGACGTTGGGGAGGGCTGTGTGATGGGTCGGAAGGAGGTGGAGAAGCCAGATGAGAGTGGTCTGGGGCATGCATGAGATATGGGTAACAGACAGCTAGCACAGCGAAGTCCTTCGACAACTGTGGCCATGAAGTAGGGGACAGAGATATGTGGTGGCTAGAGGGAGTATGACATTGGGGAAGGTGTATTGTTCTAGTTTAAGGTGCAACTTTCATACAGTGAAAAGCACAAAGTTTAAGTATGTAGCTCAATTAAGTTTCAATATGTATACATCGTTTCACCACCACCCAGGTCAAGGTGCAAAACATTTCCGAATTCCCCCTTGGGACTCTTTCTAGTCAATACTATCCCTGAAAGGAATCCTATTCCATCTTCTAAAAGCAATGATTTGCTCTTAGAACCTCATATAAATAACATC